GAAGCAAAGACGTGCATCAGATAAATTTTAGAAAACAAGGCAAAAGATATTTTCCAAGAGAGATAAACAATGAAGTCGGTTACATAAATCAGGGTCATCGCATGCCACCATCTCACCAAAGCTGACTTGGTTGCAGAAACAGTATGTGGGCTCATTTGGATCCACTGGTAAATCTAGCCCCATGCCAGTTGGATTAGCGGCAGCTGCTGCTTCTTCTGTAGCTGCCGCCGCTGCTGCCGTTGCTGTTGCCAGCCGTGTTCTGCACCATAGGAGGGTTCAAGCAAATGTCATGGTTCGAAATTTGTCAAAGGTATACCAGAGAAGAATGTCCAGTGTGCATGAATAAGGACTTTATTTTTCAAGCCAAGCTTTCTGCTGTGGGAAGAAAAACAAGAGAATATTGTTTGGGTCACATGGTGTGGTTTAGATCACTCATAGCTCAGAACCAATTTTGACCCAGACCAACTGGATCACAAAATTTGAGAACTGTGATAAAGTATAGTTCCATATAGAACTAGACAAAATCACTTCATCCACTTCAGGTCGGTTCAATTCTGGGTTGATCTCAGACAACTTGCACAAGCAGTAGAGAAAATGACTTCCTCAGGAAGGCAAAAGCAAGAATCAATAGCACAATAACAGCTAACAAAAACAAGTTTAAGCAATCTATAAGGAAACCAAATGGGAAGGTAGGAGTAGAACAAACAGAAACTAAGAACTCCGTAAAATTAAAGATGGAACCAAGAAAATTTAGGTTTTCAACCCCAAGCTTATTCTCAAACTAAAATTTCATAACAAAAACTGTACTTGAAACCTAAGAAGAATAACTATATATACAACAAGAGCTAAGAATCCTAATTCAATTCTAATTTGAACTTCTAACAAACTATGAACTCCTAATAAGCTACTAATTCTAATCCTGATTAAAAATGACTTTCCTAAAATTAAACTTAGACTCCAAATAAAACTCAAACTTAATGCAAAACAAACAGCCCTAAAACTAATCGTTAAAAAGAGCCCTATGCTCCTGCATCAATAAGGATATCTAGGATGAGTGGATGCTTTTTACGCCCTCCCCTTCCACCTTACGCCCTCCCCTTCCACCTTCACTACTTCCAGATTTCACACTGCCATCAAGACTTGTAGTAGGCAAAACAGCAGTAGCAGCAGCATTCTCTCTTTCTGTCAAAAACCATACACATATATTCCAAGGTCAAAATCTAAACAAGGTGGAGATATTTCAGAATTGATAAAAGGTGTATTTGAAGATGAAAAATGAAAATTAATAACACACCACGCCGGAGCTCCTCATCAAATCTTTTCAAATATTGATCAAGCTGTTGTATGTGTGTATCTACCTGAATCATGATTACATCACAAACAGTCAGAGTATTGAATGATAACCGTGCAAAGGAGATTGATCCCAATCCACAATTCCACATAATATAGACCTGGGTCCAAAATTAAGATCTTTAAATTTTGCAACTAAATTGAACTAGCTCACTACATTTTTGGTGGCCACCGGAACAGAAGCAAGTAGGACAAGGAGAACATTCATGATGAAGAAAAATTCTCCAAAGATGAGATTGATGAAATGTCATTCAGCAATGAAATCTTAAAATGCTTTGTGCTCAAAGTTTTACCATAGGGGAAAGGAAAACCAAAATAACAGATACATGCTATCACAGACACTATCATTCATCCTTACTATGGAAGAAAAAGGATCAATTAAATTTCCAGGGAAAATCCACAATGAAATAAATATAATTAACTGTGACTTATTGGTTACCAGTCCAATTATGAAATACTGAAACATAAGTAGCCATAAAATAATACTATACAGACAGAACATTGTAATTCCCATAACTTTTGACCTTAAAATATAATGTGCCTCTGCAAAAGCTAGACAAAATCCCACCCACATCTTAGATGGCAAATGCTAAAAGAATCTGATAGTGTCAAGTAAAGCACTGTCCAGGAAAAAAGGGATGACAATTGCAAACTAAAGATTTAGCAAAAACAGAACAAAAAACAATAAAAGCCAAATAATCGTCTCTTTACAGGATACCTTGCAAACTTTTGTCCAGATCACGGATCAATGCATACTTCTTTTGTAGAATATTTGGTAGTGATTCCAGATCTGTCCAAAGGCAAAACAGTTAACCTATTCAATAACCTAAAGAATGAGGATAAGAAATGTCATTAAGATTTGCCAAAACATCATATATATTGCTCAAACAGAGGGGTCCATACATTATATCCACCTGATTAACACAACCAAAATCAACCATCCTTTAATTCAAAAAAGATTGGGTGTAATATAAGTCATTTTTCTCCACTTTGCTTGACTTAGGGCCATGCTTCCACAGAGGTGTTTAAATTAATTCATTCCATTGACTGAAAATGGAAATAAGCCTTGATCTTGAACAATGGTACAGAACAACTTTATTTAAAAAAGACAAAAAAAGAAAAAAAAAAATCTGTGCCCAATTGTAGATAACATGAAGAATTTTCATAATCAAATTATTCGATGCCAAAGTATCAACAGAATAAAACAACAAAGAGAAGGTCCAATCAAAAGTCATTCACATACACACCTGGTTAAGCATTTTACTTGACTATTAAACAACAACAGGTATTTATTGAAAAATAGAATCTGTACAACAATTACACATTGAAACAGACATTATCTATATTGAGCAACCACAAGCTCTGCTCATCATCATAAACAAATGAGTTTATCCCTTCATTTTACACCTTAAAAGAGATAGTCTTGGAACAAAAAGGTGCCTTAATTTTGTTCTTTTCTTACATTCTTAAGTTCAAACTGCATGATACCAAGAAACTAGAATGGTTTGCTACCTTTTGACATGGCTTCTTGCAAGTAAGCATCCAAGATTTTGCAATTAGCATGAATATTTTTAGATGACCTAATTTTTGAAAGAATTGCATGGCATTGGTAAAGATTACTCAAAAACGAAAAAACTCTACAGGAAATAAAGATCAGATTTTTCTCCCTTCCCACCTTTCCCAACCTACAAAAATTCGGTTATTTCTTCATATCCGCCATGCAATGTCAATCACACAACAAGCAACAACTAAATGGATGACGCTAAGAACTTCATGGTCTCTACAGCTTACTTTATTTTTTCTTTTAGAAAAGATTTCTTGAGCTGAAACAACATAGAATAAGCGAAATGCTAAGTAAAAAAAAAGGGGGAGGGGGGATTGTTATTTTCCTAGAAAAACACATGACATAGATTTACTAATTGAATTGTACATATCATCATCATCATCATCATCCCTGAGGGAATCAAATTTAACTAGGGTTTTTTATTTTTTCTACCGCATAAAATGATTTTAAACAGGAAAAAAAAAAAAGCGATATGAAGAAAAAGAAAGATTGAAGGGGAAAACGAGGAAATAGAAAGCTTACTGGCTTGAAATTCATCGATGAAGGACATCTG